CTCTCTTGGTACCAAATTCTGTCTTAGTTATCTAGTGCTGCCATAACAGAAATACCACAAGTGGATGGTTTTAATGAAGAGAAGTTTATTTCCTCATAGTCAAAGTAGGCTAAAAGTCTAAATTCAGGGCCTCAACTCCAGGGGAAGCTTTTTGTTTCTGTCGGCCTTCTTCTCTTTAGTGTTCCCCCAGACTAGGAGCTTCTCGGCACAGGGACCCCGGTCCAAAGAATGCATTCTGCTCCCGGCACTTCTTTCTTGATGGTATGAGGTACCCCCAGAATTACTGAAGGTTTTTAAGCTAAAGAGCAATATAATCAGAGTTATATGTTAGGAAAATAATCTTGGCAAAAGTGTGATGAACTGGGAAATGAGTTGGGAAGCTATTACACTAGTCTAGGCAAGAAGTAAAAAGTTTCTTCACCAGGAAGGTGGCTCTAGAAATAAAAAGGAAAACAATGGTAGACAGAAATAATAGACTTTCTAGAGGTAAAATTGACAGATATTACTAACAGTTTAGAATATGATTGTGGAGGCATTGAAGAGAAGTGAGTCAAAAGATGACTCCAGGGTTCCCTCTTTGAGTGTCTAGGGGGTGGTAAAGTGAGTCTAGTTAAATATGTAGGCTGTGGTGAGAGACTGGGACAGATGTTTCACACTAAGAACCTTGGAATGATGTGTAAGGTTTCATGGGGAGACTGAGGCACTTGATGACTACTTGGGTAACAAGAAATTCCTGGAAGACATGTCACTATTTACACATTTTAGTGCTGCATTTAAAAATTAGCTTGACCCAACACCTAAGCTGAAAATCTTAGTGTATTTTATATAAGAACTGAAGCATTTAAAAAATATGTTAATAAGCACATGATTTATAGAAAACTTAAATATAATGATAATTAGCAATCACACTATAATTGTCACTACTAATATATCGAAATTCTGTCTCTCCACTTCACCACCCTGTTCCCAGTCTCCACCTGGCCCCCAACCTCTGCTATCTCTATCAGTTTTTTAAAAAATTTTTTTAGTAGAGTGAGAAATACAATAAAACACAATAAAAAACTAGTGTTGGAACCTGAATCCAATCTTATTTGGTCTGTGTAATAAACTTTCAAATATGTGTTTAGTCCTTTTTTCTTCTTTTCTAGAACTGGAAGTGGAAAGTTAGACTGGTGTTAGCCATGTTTTTCTTGTAGTCTTCATCGAATCTTTCATTCTGAGCCACAGTAAAGTAGTTCTTCCAATCTCCCACTGTCCCTGAAACAGTCACATGGGAGAGAGTCAAGAGCTGTTGGAGGAATTCTTATTTCTCTATTCTCTCTTTTTCTGTGTAATGATTTCTATCCCACCTTCCATGAGAGGCAGTATTGGACAAAATATTTCTCTTGCTGTCCTGTCACTTTTTTATCCTGAAGGGTGGAAGAATTTCTTGTCTGATTTATGAGACAAGGAGAGCCTTTTACCTACTGAGCCACACTGACAAGGGAATGAGACCACCACATTAAAGCAGCAGACCTGAAGGGCACGCTTATCTTTCTCCCTTGCCCTCTTTCACATCAAAGCATGATGGGTGCCTTTAGCTTCCATGCTGTAAGAAGACCAAGAACGGCCTGTTTCTGGAAGACCCCAAGGAATAGTTTTGTGGAAGGAAAGAAGATTCCTCGAAATTCTTCAATTGCAATCCCTCCGACAACTCCTTTTCCAGTTTTATTTTTTCTTCATAGTTCTTAACATCATCTATCATCCTATGTATTTTGCTTCTTTATTTTGTTTGTGGCTAGAATATAATTTCTATGAGGGAAGGGATTTTTCTCTGTTTTGTTCACTAATGTGAACAGTGTGTAGGACAGTGTCTGGCATATAGTAGCCCCTCAGTAAATATTTGTTGAATGAGTGAATCTAACTGGTAGCATAGAGTCCTCTATAAAATTGATTCTTTGTTTTGTCTGACTGACTTCTGTATATTTGCACTTTATCAGCCAGAACTGTGGTGCATAGGAGGGAAGGTGGGAATTAGGGTTTGGACTTAGATGCCAAATATCATCCTGATCCATCAATAATGGCTAATTAAACATTGCTTTCATTTCATTTGTGGTTTCTTAAAATAGTTTTATCAGAATCATGTGTTAGAAATCTTACTTTTCCTAACCATAGAAAAGTAAATTCCCCAAATGTTCTGAAATATTAAGACAATTCTTTTAGAATTATGACCAAAAAAAGAGTATAAAAACCTTTTCTCATGAATGGAGAAATGGAGTGGTCCATGAATGCAGTAGGAACAGATGAATAGTTTGCCATTGGATTGTCCTTCATTATATCAAACGAAGTATGATGGACAATTTTTTCTAGAACTTCATCATCTAGGTTATTGCCCATAAATTCTGCCAACTTCTGAATTTCATGCCTTGGGTTCTGTGATCGGAGTCAAAAGAAAAGTGGGGATTTGATATAAAATAACTAGTTTAAAAAGAATATTGAAATAGATTAATGACAGTAACAAGTAACATACCATGAGTTAAAATTGAAAAAAAAAAATCTTAAAAATCTTCAACTTTACAGACATGATTCATTTTAATATAATGACCTATATTAGTCTCTCTTTTTTTAAAATTAATTTTAAGTATTAACCATTTCTTTAATATATAAGCATCAATGGGGCAGTGTTAGTAGACCACTCACCCGCCATTATGTCATTATCTTGGAAGAGATTGTGTCAAGGATTATGTACAAAGGTCCTGTTCCAATCAGTTATGGGAGAGGTCTTGGTCATCTAAATGTCTAACAGGGAGATTTCATAGACTAATAAGAACAAGGACATTCTAGAAGATAGGGGCAGAAGATTTAAGATCTGACGAAAAGAAGACTCTTGCCTGTTTCAGACACTGATGAGAGCTCCAGGCCATCACAGTGGTGGTAGGAGGTGGTGGCAGAGGAATGAAGTAGGTTTTTATTTTTAATGTGCCACGAGGCACCCATGGTTACTAACTGTGGTGCCCAGCATGGCCAGGTGTTTAGGTTTCTCTGAAAGGATCTCGGTTCCAAAGTAACAACTGTTTATCAGTGGGATACACAGCCCTGCAAAGCTATAGCTGTGGGTAGTCCCCTATTTTTAGAGGGGAGGGATGGGAGAGGGAAAGTAGAAGGAATTACCATGATGACTGTGTCTGTAAATGGGCTTCTGTTTTAAAAGCTTGAATGTCAAAAGTGCTTAATTTAATTATCCTCACACAGCTGGGGGTGGGGTGGGGAGATTAGAAATCAAAGAGTGCCAAGGACTGTGAACTTTCTGTGAACTATAGTCAGGGACATTCCAGAACATGATCACATAAATATTTAAAAGGGCTTTTGGATACTTTGAAGTTAGACTCCTTGTTTCCATAAAGTTTCTTCCTGGCATTCATAATACACTGGACTCTACCCCAGCAAAAGGCTCTCATTCCCAGAGACCATATCCTCTCTTTGATGCTGCTGTGCCACATACAATGGTAGGACATCATCTATGTGGAATTCTAAACTCTTCTATGACCTCCTCAGTTTGGAATATCTCATAACAGAATAAACTCTTCCTTACAGTATACAGCTCCCCACCATAATATTCCTTAACTGAGTATCTATATCTGAAACTCTCTGAGTAGTTAACTCTTTCAATTAAAATAGCTCATATACCTGAAATATATTCTTTCAGGACATGGGCAATGAGAGTCTCCTTTTGTATGCTTTCCTATCATTTAGTGGTTTTTTTTTTATTTTTTTGTACTCTCTGTAGTGTTTCAATACTTTTGTACTGAGTAAACACAAAGAAGGGGGAATTTCGTTCTCTTAAACTCATAGATTGTTCTCATAGTTCTTTGTGGTTTGAGAATTCTGGAAATGTAATAACTTTTCTGTTTAAGGAAAAAATATAAAAATGATTCAGCGTTTTGATATTTTGTAAAAATGACTTGTTAAGGCCCAGCCGTGATGAAACCTTAGACAACTACATCTTAAATTTTAATGGGCACGTGAATCACCTGGAAGTCTTGTATAAATGCAGACTCTGATTTAGTAGGCCTAGGGTGGGCTGTAAGAGTCAATGCAGCTAGTCTGTAAACCCCTTTTTGAGTACCAAGTCTTTCCATTACAAATTCAAGAACAGAGACTCTAATTCTTTGTAGATCTCTGCATTAATGGATTCACAGAAAGTAGCTTAGTAGTTTACCATTTATAGTAAACTTCCACTAACATGATCTCATTTTGTCCTTGGAGGGTTTAGCTCTTGGAGGGTTATGTATTTTCTACATTTTGCATTTAAGGAAACTCTCCAAGATATTAGGTGTCTTTACCAAGAATAATTGACATGAGTGGTAAAGCCAGGACTTGAATTCAAGAATTTTGACTCTAAATCACTAGCGTTTTCTTTTACACCATCATTTCTTAAACTGTTTCTTGAAACTCTCATGTTCCTCTAGTGCTCTTAAGGGGGAGAAAGGACACCCACTGATGCTAGGGATTTTTTTTTTTCCCCTTTGTAAATCTGAATTTTAAAATACACATGAGAGGAAAAAAAAAACAAAACACCTTTCTAGGTATCATTGGTATTCTGCAATAATCTCCCTATAAGGGAAAAGTACAGCATACCCTAGGGCACCAGGAAGTTGCAAGTGATAAACCATGTGATACATAAAGTCGTGGTATCCTATATACACTTGGATACATGGACAACTGTAGGCAACCAAATGCATCAATTTTCTGTTCTCTGTTTTAATCCATGAGTTCCTGATGGGGTCAATACATTAAGACTGAAGTGTTTTATTGGAACACTTTAGACCACACTGTCTCTCACCTTCTTCATATCCTCATAGAAGAGGTAGAGAATTCGGTGTTGATCTTTGGCTTCCCACCATCCTTTCACGTGGTCGTACCATGAACCCCAGCACACTGAAAGACAGGGATGAAAAACAAGATAATGAGTCACAGAAGTCCAGCCAACACAAATATTCCACTGGAAGGAGAATTCCTGAAGAGAGGGAGAATATTACATTGATGATTCCTTCATATTATAGAAGGAAGAGCCCCTGCTATTCTAAGGAAATGATTCTGTCTTTTAGGGGTGCCCTGAATTTAGACTTGTAGCCTACTGGACTGTGAGAGAATAAATTTCTCTTTGTTAAAACCATCCATTTGTGGTATTTCTGTTGGAGCAGCACTAGATGACTGAGACAGAATTTGGTACCGGGAGTGGGGTGCTGCCCTAACAGATACCTAAAATGTGGAAACGGTTTTTGAAACTGTGGATGGAGGAGCGGCAGTGGCAGAGGACCAGCAACAGCAGAGAACCTGCAGCGGCAGAGAAGGGGCAGTGGCAGAAAACCAACAGCACCAGAACCAGGAGACCAGTGCGAGACGGCGCTGGAGCCGACCCACGGAGCAAGAGAGCTGAGTGCCTGTGCGCCAGAGGCTTCCTGGCGGAGTGGGGTGCCTTCAGGCACTTATCGGTGGAATTAGGCTTGCTGACCCACAGCGAGGGAGCTGAGTGCCTGTGTGCAGGAGGCTTCCTGGCGGAGTGGCGTGCCTCCAGGCATTTAATCAGTGGAGCTACCGAGCTTTGGAACACTTGCCCCAGTAGGGCAGATGCGGGCCTGAGGCCCGAGGGCCAAGAGGCCACAGGAAGCAGAAGCTGAAGAGACAAGGAACACAAGAAGCCGAGCTGCCTCAGTCTCAAAAGGCATGGCCAAGACCTCTGGGGTTTCCAAGGGTGGAGCCATGGCCCCTGGTGTTTCTAAGGGTGGAGTTGTCACTCCGATGGACTAGGAGAATGGTGTGCCTGAAGCCGAGGGAGCAGAGTTGCTATCCCAGTGGGCCTGGAAGGTGGAACTGAAGCCCAGGGCTGAGGGGCCTCCACTCAGAATCCGGAGACTGTGGCCAATACCTAGAGTCTGGAGGGCAGGGCTATTGTGTAAGTTATCTCAGAGAACAGAAGATTATTTTCAAAGCCTTGAGGGCTAATGTAATGTGTTCTGCTAACTTGCTTGGTGCCTGTTATTCCTTCTTTCCCTGCAGTTTCTCCCATTTGTAACGGAAATGTCTAGCTTGTGCCTTTCTGCCATTGTACCTTTGGAAGCAGATAACTTGGATTTTGGACTTGGAGTTAAGACTTTTGCTGTGATATGGTGAGATGAATATGTTTTGCATGTTGCAAGGATGTGATTTTTTTGGGGGCCAAAGGGTGGAATGTCATGGATTGAATTGTGTCCCCCAAAAAATGTGTGTAGCGACTTGGCTGGGTCATGATTCCCAGTGTTGTATGATTGTGTTATCTGATGTGATTTCCTTATGTGTTGTAAACTCTACCACTATGATGAGATTATGTGTGATCTCCTCATGTGATGTAAATTCTATCACTGTGATGAGGTTATACTGATGAGGTTGACAAGATCAGTGTCTTAATGCAATCTCTTTTGAGATATAAAAGAGAGAAGCGAGCAGAGACACATGGGAACCTCATACCACCAAGAAAGCAGTGCTGGGAGCAGTGTGCATCCTTTGGACCGGAGGTTGCTGGGCAGAGAAGCTCCCAGACCAAAGGAAGACTGATGACATGGACTTTCCTCCAGAGCTGATGCCCTAAATTTGGACTTGTAGCCTACTGGACTGTGAGAGAATAAATTTCTCTTTGTTAAAACCATCCACTTGTGGTACTTCTGTTAGACCAGCACTAGATGACTAAGACAAGGGGTATTTGATATTTTTGAGAAAGGAAGGAAATGAAGGTGAATTCTCTCACCTTTCCCAGCCAGAAAACTCTCAAAATATTCTTCCCAGGTTCCTGGATCAGGAAGTCCTTTATTCATCCTATGGAAATGGTAATAGGATACCATATTATCCTTGGGGTTTCTTGCTATATAGATCATCTGGGAATGGAGGGAGGAGAGGAAGAAGCAAAAACAGAATTAGAACTATATAGAATTATTACCCAGACAAGTCATGTTAGAGTGGATACGTTTCATACATATCACATTTCTATATGCTGGGTTCTTGTGATCCTAGCTTTTGTGGGAGATGAAAATGATTCATATCAATTTGCATATTGATTAATGTGAAGATGTGGTCTAGCTTTTTTTTTTTCCTCCTTTAATATCAGATGAGGAGTTTTAAGAAGAAATTGATTGAAGACCACTCCAAGGTTGTTCCGAGTAGTGTAACTTTGAATTCCTTTTGTTCTTTACCTTACAGTTTTTCTCTAGGAAAGACGGAGGCACCAGGTCAATGGGAAGATGAGTTTTCAGAGTCCGTGGTGAGGGCATTGCACTGGCTTGTTCCAAACCTGAAAAAATGGCTTTTGATCATTTTCCACTATTTTTCTCTGTTTGCTTCAAAATCTTACTACTTCCATTATTACTACTTTAGGAACAATTCAAGATAGCTGCAAGAGCACTGTAACTGTCTATAGATCTGACCCGAGAGACTATGTCTAGCTTGTGAATGAATTTTTTTGGCCAGAGCAGTTCCTAACCATGACGATCAACCGACTAATAAATAAAAAACTAAAAAATCAAACTTTTCTACCATGAAATTATCCTGTTGGGCTCATCCTTGTAGAATAGAATTAGTTTCTAATTAGATAATAAAAATTTACTTTTAATATTTAACTTATTTTTTTTTCAAAAAGTAATTCCATTTGAAAATGTCCTTAGTATAGAAATGGCCAGACACAGTTAAAAAGACAAAACCATAAAATTCATCAATAATTTTTTGAATGCCTAAAATTTTTTTTTTTTTAAATTGTGCTTCGGGTGAAAGTTTACAGAGCAAATTAGTTTCTCATTAAACAATTAATACACATACTATTTTGTGACATTGGTTGCCAACTACGCGATGTTTCAACACTCTCCCCCTTTTTTTAATACATATTTATTTTTATTGTACTTGAGATGGAGGTTTACAAAACAAATAATTTCTCATTAAACAGTCAGTACACGTATTGTATTATGACATTGGTTAACAACCCCACGACATGTCAACACTCTCCCTTCTTGACCTTGGAGGACCTTTTTTTTGTTTTTTTGGTGAAAATTATACATAGCCAAAGTTACACCATTTCAAAAGTTTCTGCGTGTACCATTCAGTGACATCAATTACATTCTTCCAGTTCAACACTCTCCCCTTTTTGACCTTGGCTTCCTCATTTCCATTTGTCCAGCTTTCCTGTCCCTTCCTGCCTTCTCGTCTTTGCTTTTGGGCTGGTGTGCCCCTTTAGTCTCATATACATGGTTGAACTACGTGTGTTATTGTTTGTTTTATAGGCCTGTCTAATCTTTGGCTGAAGGGTGAACCTCAGGAGTGACTGCAGTACTGAGTTAAAAGGGTGTCTGGGCCAGACTCTTGGGGTTTCTCCAGTCTGTCAGGCCAATAAATCTGGTCTTTTTTTGTGAGTTAGATTTTTTTCTATAGTTTTCTCCAGCTCTGTCTGGGACCCTCTATTGTGATCCCCGTCAGTGCAGTCGGTGGTGGTGCTGACCTCAGTCTGGTGGAGACTGTTGAATGCCTAGAATTTTGAGAGAGGCTTTTTGATAGTAAAAATCCTAAGTGTATGTTTAGGACTGTAGTCAAGTGTGGCAACTCAGTACTCACCACATCCAATTCCTGGAATTATCCATTCGATGAAAGGAATTCGTATATGAGTAGGTGCTCTTTTACTTTTCTCAAGATCACCTTTATTTTGTATTAAGTCCACTATCTCCTGAGTCCATGTTGTTCCTTATTCCACATGTAATAGGAAGAAGCATAGACATTTAGTGTACCAGATTCCTTAAAATATGATAAGATACTTATTAGAATACCTATGTGAATTTTAAAGTTAAGTTTATAAGGATTCAGAAAACATCATTCCATATTTATGTCTTGTCTATCATAATTTGAATTTTTTATAGGGGCTAAGTTGGAGCAGACATCAGATTGATAAATATACAGTTTATTATTATTTTTTTCTGCCACAACCATTAATTTGGATTACCATACTATTGAGTTAGATGCATTGTTCTTAAGAAAGGGAGAATCAAAGAATTTGAAGGTCTTTCTCAACAGATTGTGATCACTTGGAGAGTAATGACTATGTGGTTTTCAAACTGTTTTCCAAGCACATAGCACAGGGCAGCCACATAAGAGGCACTCAGTATATGTTGGCTGAATAAATGAATGATTAGTGCCTGGGCTTGATATTCACCATTAGCACTCAGTATCTCTTTTCACCTTTTTCTTGGTTTTCCGCTTATATCAGGGGCTGAAAGGCTTCAAAATGTGCATTTCCAAGACATCCTTGCCCCTAAGGTTCTAGATGCTATTTGGATTCTGCAATGAGATGCATTAGCCTGAGATTTGGAAGGCAGAAGGGAGGTAGAGGTCATCCTTCTTCTTGAGGAAGTGGCAGGTAATGGAGGCTCCCATAGATAGAAATTTTTGAAGAGGCCATTCCATGTTCACTGCCCAGTATCCTCAACCCAAGAAGCTGCGTAACGACTGCTACCACTCCCACATAAAGAAGGCCTTGATCTCCCACCTTCAGTATGCTTCTGTGTCCTGTGCTGAATCCTGATGAATTCCATGTTGGATGTTTGACAATTTTAGGATGCTTTCTGAAATGGTATTAATAGTCCTGCTTCCTGTATATGGGTTGATTTTTTTTACATTCTCTGGCATCAACTCTTATTATAGATCTCTTTTCTCATAGTCTCATTCAGTACTTATAAAGAGCTACCATAAGGGCATAGATTAGAAAACAATAAATAATAAGTATAGTTCTATATCCTGTATGAATTGGTCTTCTATATTTTCTGGCACCAAGTACTCTTTCGTTATAGGACAAAGACCAAGATTTCTCCAGCTATCTACTCAAAGAAAGTTAGACCATTTGTACTAGTTTTAAATCTAGTTTTATGCACTGATTTTATAGTTTTCTCTGATATTTTTGTGATGGGCTAATATTTAAGTGCCACCTATAGGTTCAGGGCAGCCCTGGTGGCACAGTGGTTAAAAGCTCAGCTGCTAACCAAAAGGTCGACAGTTCTAATCCACCAACTGCTCCTTAGAGACCCTATGGGACAGTTCTACTCTGTCCTATAGGGTCGCTACGAGTCAGAATTGACTCAACGGCAATAGGTTTGGTTTTTTTGGTTTGTTTTTTTTTTGTTCAGGGATGAGTTAAATGACTTCTTTAAAGGCCCATAATTCTCTGAACTATTTTTTTTCTTCACTCGTTTAGAGTAAATGGCATTATTATTTTAAAAATTTAAGTGTTTCTCAGACTATGATTTTTATCCTCTGTATTTGTCTCTTCTTCCAACTAATAAAAATGACCTTTATTAATGTATAAAGTTTTACTGATGATTATGATGATTATTAATTTAGCTGGCAAGCATTTTACTTTTTTTTTTTTTTGTATTTTTCAAAACCCGTTAATGCCATGAAAGCCCTCAGTGAACCAAATCTTAACGCTCACATGTGGCAGGTGCAGAAAAGATTAGCTATTAAATAGTGTGCTGAAATGATGAAAATCAAATAGAATTGTGGATTTAGGCATGAAATTAAGACAGTGAGATTTGATCCTAGCCAGTGGCTACTTGTAGAAATTTACATTTAGAAAAATTTAATCCTGAGCAGGCTCATGATGAGTAAGATTGGAAAGTCAATATGAAACCAATGGACTGAGAGACTAAGGATACTCCACCTTAAAGCCCCCTGGTCCTTCTCTCCCCTCTCCCAGAGGATCTTTTATTAGGATCTTTAGAGAAAAGAGACAAGAGGGATTTGAACACACAATCTCAGAAGATGCTTAGGTTTCGATTTTTGGTGTGTGTGTGGGAGGGTAGGCGTTATTGACAGGGGCTTGATTTTACAAACAGCAAGGCAATATATATTTGGGGGGTGGACTGAATACTGTCAAGAACTATTTCCCTCTGCTCACCCCAAAGTTTATATGATGCAGGGACTGGGCTCAAGTTGGTTTTACTTCTACAGACAAGTTTGTTAAACTAATTATTAAAATAAGGCAGTAGGTTTACAACATAGCAAGAAGGAAGCTGGAAACCAAAAGAATAGTTTTAGGACCCTGAGGTGGGAGGCGTTTGAGGGCTTCTGGGGGCTGCAAAGGTGAAATCAACATGGCAGAACTAAATTCCCCTATTACTTTTTCCACATCTGCCTTGGGATCCCCTTTCTAGCTCACACTCCTAAAGCCGCCTTTTACAAGATCTGCAGTAAGGGCCTAGATTGGGAACACATAAATAAACAAATCTAGCCCTTTTGATCTTGGCTGTTTAATTTACTTTCTCCCTGGGAAGAAAAAATACGTGCACCACAGGAAGACAACTTCCTCAAATCTGTCGGACATTGTAATATTTTTTGTGCAATTCCTTTTTCAGTTTCCACAAGTAACTTGTCTTAGCCATATCACTGCCTAGTAAACAGTTTTTCACTCAAGCCCAGGAGATCACCTTCTTTATTTCATCATTAAAATGCATCTTTGTCACTTACCTTCCTAACTCTCTTGTCACCTACTCTTTCCACCTACCTGCTTTAGGATAGGTAGAAATTAGCAAATCATCAGGCTTGGCTTGGAAGTTCCAGATCTGATCCCAGGTTTCACAGGTGGGCGTGGGTTGAAGAATTCCCTTCACATAGTCCACAGTTAAGCGCTCCTTTTCATCAATTTTCAAATCCTTCATCTCGTTTAAGGCCATGATTGTCAGAAATCAGAGTACTGTTAGAGACAGAAAGTTACGTCTGAGTCAGCACCAGGCATACGTTTTGATATCATATACAGAAAATGCAAAACTCAGACCACAAACTCTGTCTGTGATAGCCTGGGGCCGACCAGCAAACAGGGAGAAATATAGCCATGGGCCTGCTAGCCGAAGTCCCAGAGAACTAGCAGCTATTGTTTAGGACTTTGTAAGCCAGCGTTTCTTTCAGCACTCCTCCCCCTGTGACGTAATGCCAGAGGTGGTGACAAATCCCAACTGCTATTTCCTTCTCTAATCCTGCTTCTCTGTAGCAGTTTAACGAGACTTAGCATCATGTTATGTTTCTCACGTTTTTGTTCACAAAATAATTCACAGATACTTTCATTAATTGTGTCTCCTGGGAATTTTAAACTAATTTAAAAAATTGTAGGCAACTCGGCCTGTGGAATTTCAGATTACAACAGAAGATCATTTCCTTACAGGCTGAGGAGGAATTTCTGTGGCTCTGAACAGTGAGATCCTAGATTCTGAACTTTACAAGCATTAGAAAGGGTTAGCTTTGTTAGTAGTTAAGAATAAAATAAATAATGCTCCATTGGAGATGATTCTCCTCTATTTGTAAACTGCTCTACAGAATCAGTAGGGGTCTCGTCATATCTATTAAAACATACGTGTGTCTCATTTAAAGCAAAATGGATGCAAAACAAACAAAAAACAAAAACACAAACACAAAACCCCTCCAGACTGCAGAAAAGAAGACGGTAGGTATGTTAAGACACACCCGCATTTGCCTCTTTGTTCTTGGAGTTCACTTCCTAGGCCGCTGCCGGATTCCCCTGTGAACCTTTCTTTTTTCCTGAATGCCTTGGGGTTTGTTACGCCTGCTTCCTTCTTTCGCTGGAACCATTCCTGGATCCTGCCTGAGTTTTGTTTCTTATTCCTGATTCAACCATAGCCTTTTCTCTGCTGACCATCTCTAAAACAAGGTCAAGGTCCCTTTTACTTTTTAAATGATAATTGTTACAATTTACCCATCCATTTTTCCTGTTTTCCTCTTACCCCCTGCAGCTCTTCTTGGCCCCCCTCAGAATCCGTTCTGAACATCAGTCAGTCATTTCATTTCTTGCTTAAAGCCTTTCACTGGCTTCCGACCGAAACCCTTACCACATGCTGTGAGGACCTCCACAGTGAAGCCTCTGTTTATACCCCCAGATTATGCCACACTTGCTCCCGCTCACAGGGCTTCAGCCACAAAGGCCTCCTTCCCACCCCAGAAGGCACTAGGCTTCCTCTTGCATCAACGCTACCATTTCTTCTGGAAATCTCTTTCTCTGACTCTTGTATGTCTGGTTCTTAACCTGGTTCTTTGTCTTTCTTCAGGTCTCAATTTAAGTGCTCCATTATCAGAGAGGCCATCCCTGTCCTTCAGTATCATCTGAAGTAGCTCCTTCCTGTTTTCTTGCTCATGGTATCTGTTTCCTTTACAGCAGCTATGAAAATTTGGTTTGTTAACTTGTTAATTTTCTATCTCCTTCACTAGACTCCAAGGTACATGAAATAGGGCCTGGACTCTGCCTTGGTTTTCACTTATACACCAGCTATATGCCTAATGCAGCTATGATGCCTTTGAATTATGGTGTTGATGAAGAATATTGAATATACCATGGACTTCCAGAAGAACAAACAAATCTATCTTGGAAGAAGTACAGCCAGAATGCCCTTTAGAAGCAAGGATGGCGAAACTTCGTCTCACGTACTTTATACATGTTATCAAGAAGGACCAGTCTCTGGAGAAGGACATCATGCTTGGTAAAGTAGAGGGTCAGCGAAAGAGAGGAAGACCCTCAATGAGATGGATGGACACAGTGGCTGCAACAGTAGGCTCAAGCATAGCAACGATTGTGAGGATGGCTTAGGACTGGGCAATGTTTCGTTCTGTTGTACATAGGGTGTCTATGAGTCGGAATCAACTTGACGGCAACGGGTTTGTTTTGGTTTTTATAAAAATATTACATTTAATTTTTCAGTTTAATTTCTTTCTATAATCTTTTCACTCCTGTGTGTTAACAAGGTAGAGTGATGGACGGGTCAGCAATATCTTAGCAGTTTGTTTTTTTTTCAGTACATTGTGTGCAAGGGATGGAATTTTGGAAGATAGGCAGAAGAAAGAGAGAAAGGATATATCTCCTTCCCAAAAGAGGACTGGGTAGGCTTGAAAATGTTGCTGTTGTTATTTGCCATTGAGTCGATTCTGAATGGACAACTTGGAAAGTTGAAAGTTTCAGACATTTTGAAAAATTATCTTGACTACACGTATTATTCCTATTCTCATTTACTATTTTTACTCAATAGTGCTTCCTCATAAGGTCTTGAGAATTAAAGTGTACTTAGTGACTGAAAAAATAAAACTGGTACTAAGTCTACATTCTGCCAGCATTGCTTTGGCATTCTAAATATCTAGATTTGAATTGAAACTACCACTTAACAGCTGTGTAATCTTTCTAATTATTTAATCTCTTTTGAGTCTATTTCCTTTTCTGTTAATCTCACAGGACCAGTGTAAGGATTGATGTATGTAAGGTGAGAAATAGAAGGAATAGGAGAGCGAGGACTAAGTCTTAAGAGGGCCTTAGATGTCCAAAGGAGTTTAAGTAAATATTTTGTAGATAAAGGGCAGATATTGAAGAACTTTGAGGACGGGAGCAAATATTGTCAGATGTAATCTTTATGCTAATCCTGTGAGGTAGGAAGTTTTATCCTCAATTTACAAATTGGGAAGTGGATGCTCAGAGAGGTAACATGAGAGACTTAACTTCAGAGGGTAGATGGTAAAATGAGGGCTCAATTCTATTTGTCTGGCTGCTGAGTCCAAGTACTTTCCATTTCAATGTTGTTGTGTGCCATGGAGTTGATTCCAATTCATAGCAACCCTGTATGACAGAGTAGAACTGCCCCATAGAGTTTCCTAGGCTGAAATCTTTACCGGAGGAGATCAACAGGTTTTTTTCTCCCTTGGAGCTGCTGGTGGGTTCGAACCACAAACTTTTAGATTAGCAGCCAAGTGCTTAACCATTGTACCACCAGGGCTCTGTATCCATTTCAATAGAGCTCTATACTTTGGAGAGGTAGGATATGGGAGGAGGCTGCTTTCAAACATCTGTACCCTGCTGAAAATATATCTACTAATAAACAGTTCTACACTGAGACTGAGTGCTCACTGTCTCCAGGAAGACATGACTGCTTCAGCTCCCTGGACAAGCTGTAAGCATCTGCAGCTTTAGCGCGGGAACTCACAGTTAAGACCCAAACCCATTGCCTATGAGTTGATTCCGACTCATAGTGACCCTGTAGGACAGAGTAGAACTGCCCCATGGGGTTTCCAAGGAGCAGCTGGTGGATTCGAACTGCCAACGTTTTGTTTTGGTTAGCAGCCTGGCTCTTAATCACTGTACCACCAGGGCTCCACAGTTAAGACAGTGAAGTCAGTTGTACATTTTAGAAAGATTTGAAACAAAACTAAATTGACTATCAGCTATCTGGAATATTTAGACTGAATGATTCACTCAAGGACGGAGCTGTATACTTGCATGTTGGTGGAAGACTTTTCTAGTTGGACAAATAAAATGAAAGCCTTTGCAAAATGTGACCTACAAGCTCTTTAAAGGTTGGGATAGCTAAATGAAGCTATGCATGCTAAATGACTATTACAAATAGGTATTCCATCCAGGTTAAAGTCACCAACATTAGAACTTTGATGCCTGCCAAAGTGTGTAAGTATTTTGACATTGATAAAACCAGGCCATATAAAGCTGGAGAAACGTGCCAAAACCAAAGTCCTCTGTGGAGTTCACTCTTCTTTTGAGCCCCCAAAGTTCAAGATTGTAGATCATTAACAAGAGCTCTCCGCTGATAGTAATTGGTTCCGGCACATAGATGATACACAAATGAAACCCTAACTGGGTCTCAAACCACATAGAGCTTTAATAAATGAGAATAAAATATTGAATGCAAATAGAAACCATATGGTAGCCTTTACACTTGTGTACTAGTCTGTGTAGACCTTTTGTGCTCTTATAAGGAAAGGAATGCAAAAAAAATAAAAACAAACAAACAACACCACCACATTGGTGCTAGTATTACTACTCATGTTGAAAATATGGCGACTCTAATTTTTAATCAGAGCTCAGCAGAAGAATCGATGAAAATTTGCTCTACTATTTTTGTTTTTTCCCTACAAGTTACAAATACTCAATTTACCTGGACACAACTTTATCAATAAGCATTGAACACAATTAATTTGAAATGACTCAACTTACTCAAACACCAAAGCAAGGGCTTCGCTCTTTTCTTTTCCTTGATATAAATCTATCTCTATATATATTTATACACTTTACAGGTTTTGCTTCTCTAGAGAACCCAGCCTAAGACAGTACCCAGACTTGGAAGCAGTATCTACGGCAGATGTTCCTAATGGGGTATCCAAGCAAGGGAAACTTCTTGTTCCTCCTCATCACTACTTCCCAGTAGTTATGAAGGAGACTGATGGACATGTAAAGACTCAGATTGCCTGGTGAGCTTCTCAGTCTGTCCATGACTACAGATTTAATGATTTCCATCCATGCATTTTTTTCTGTTAAGACCCTTTCCAGTAGTCCTAGAAGTGCTGAGAAGTGATAGAGGTGGATTATCCACCCAGAGAGTAGAGAGAGTTAATTGTTCATGGCACACTATCATCAGTGGCCCATTCAACGCCTCTTGTATTTTTTATCCTTAGAGCTCACTCACATTCCCATCCTCCCATAGAAACTATGACATTAACACGTATCTTTTGGTTTGTAAGTGTTCTTGCAAAATGAGTATTTTGGGCTGCAGTGCCAAAAATTAATTTACATAAATTATATTGAGTTATATATCTCTTTTGGTTACTTACATTTTTCCTCTAAGCACAATATTTTAGAGATGTGCAGTATTTTAGAGATGTCTTCATCTTGCTATATGTAAACCTGATGCTTCTAATTGCTTTCTAATATTTCATAATGGGAATCTATCACATTTTACCAGCCTACTCTCCCTGCAATAGGCACCCGGATTACCGTTAACTCGCAGCCAGCACAAACAGGGCTGCAAGGAACACAAACATGAATATTCTTATGTATGTCCCCTGGGGGAATCACTTAAGC